AACCCCTAAACCCTAAACCGTGGAGCTCAGGAGTTGTCCTATCAAATCACTGACAAGTGCTTCTTTGACATTGAGATTGACGAGAAGCCGATGGGGCGCATCGTCCGGGGCTTTCTGGTGCAGTGCTAAAACTATTAATAAACCCTGTGATATAAATTCGGTTTAAGGCTTCAGGCTTCAGATTAGTCGTTTTGTGATGAAGAGTTTAGGGTTTTTGGGTCCAGTGTGCAAGATGCCTTACTTAAAGGATCATGGGACTTAGTAAGTAGGGTTATAACTAAGGTAACTATACTTATAACCCCAATTAGGAGACTTATAACCTTACTTACTAAGTCCCATGATCCTCCAACCCTAAACCCTAAACCCTAAACCCTACGTACTAAGTCCCATGATCCTCCAAGTAGAGGCAGATAGCTGGACTGTCGGCCTCGGATTGTTGATGTCGAGCTCCACGCCAGGTACCCTCAGGGTTTCTCAAGAGGGTACCCCTAAAAACTACACCCTAAACCCTAAGCCATAAACCCTATCAACGCCACACCCCGAAACCCAGACCTTAAGCCCTAGAACGCCGAAGCTCTGTCAAGCTTAGGCCCGAAACCCTCAAACCCTGTAAACGCAACAAGTCCCATGGATCCCACGTGAACCCTTAACCTCCAGAGTCTACAAGTCTTGGCCTTGAGCCTCCGTGGAAGCCCGGCCTTACAACTCTGAGATGGAAAACTCCACAGTGAACCCTGCTGGCCAAGGATTTGCTGGGCCACGCTTTAAAGGCGTTCAGGTTTGGGCACCACGAAGTTCTTGAACCCCCCCCCAGGTGCTGGGACTCTATGGAGAGGACATGCCCAGAACAGCACCGGGCTTGGTAGTAGGAGCTCGGCGGGGTGTGAGAGCCTTGAGCTATAGTTGGGGGGGGGGGGGTTAAACCCTAAACCCTAAACCCTAGACCCTAAATCGGGTTTAGGGTTTCGGGTTTTTGGATTGTGGGGTGTGGGGTGTGGGGTTCAGGTTGTGCAGTCCAGGGTTGGAGTGTATTTGTTAGGACTGCAGTTCTTGATTCAAGGAGACTTGCATGGAGGTATCCCCTTTTACTAATGCTATGCTACTGCTATACCGGCTATACTAAGAAATACCAAGACCTGACGATCCTAGAGGTGATGTTGTCAGTTCCTGCATATGGGTAGCTCTCTAAAGTAGGGTCCCTTTTTGTAAAGGGTGCCGTACCCCTGAATTTAGAGAAATACCCATATACTGGCATCCTGGCACTTGTCTGGCGGCTGTGGAAATACGGCAGTCATTGCGGTTCATGGGATGTCGGTGGGCTTCCCTCAGGGGTAGCAGCAGCTGCCTTGGTCAAGCCTTCGTTGATGCCCGTGACTATGCACGACATTTTGCACAGAAATGTCAGAGGTCATGGTGTCTCCTACTAACGCTCTCCCGTGGTTCGTTTCTCTCCGCCGCATCCTGGAAGCTTTCCAGAGATTCGATGAAGTCGATGAGTTAATGACATTTGCACAAGCGGTCTTGTCCTGCAGGCCCCCCTGCTATTTTGCATAGTTCCCTTTTTGAGTGTATTTCGCAGAAGCAGCAAGGCTCCACGGCGCTCAGGAACTAGATAAAAGCCGGGACGGCACGCTCGTACTGCAAGGTGGAGAACTTCAAGTGCCTGTGCACCGGCGAGAAGGCCCGATGACCTACTTAAAGGATCATGGGACTTAGTAAGTAGGGTTATAACTAAGGTAACTATACTTTTCACCCCAATTAGGGGACTTATAACCTTACTTACTAAGTCCCATGATCCTCCAAGTAGCCCATGAGGATAACTCCAGAGCGAACAGTATCTTTCAGCTGCTTGAGTTGTAGACTTGTCGAACACTCGGCCGGTTGTGGTACATCGCCGGCACCCTGGTTGCAGCAGTCATCCTTAAGCGACGAGAACACGGAATTCGTGACATGTAGCACGCTCATCACTCCAATATCTTCCTATATCTCGTAAGTCCTACCGTCCGTCTGCAATCCCCCCCTTAACGTCTCAGAGCTCCTGAATGCTGGAAGGGAACCAGCGAGAGCACCGGCGAGCCCCTCCACTACAAGGGCACAAGGTGCACATTGCTGAAACTGCTCGAGTTTAAGGTTTCCATCTGTCAGCTCATCGCTGGACACACCGAAATCTGATTCCTTGCAGTGTGCGTGGGTGAGATCTGCCTGTCCGTGGCTCCGGTACGTAGGTATGCATGTATGTATGCAGCTCTCTCTCTCTCTCTTTCTGTCTATCTGTCTTCCATCTATCCAACTATCGATCTATTTGTCTGTCTATCTGTGTGTATATATATATATACACATTTGGTTCGTAGACAAGTCTGGTGAATTGATTCCAGTGCCAAGAGAGGGTCGAAATGCGGCCGACATCTCCATTCTTCCGGCAGTCGCATGCCTGCTCCGTCTCGGGCTGAAGCCTCTGCTGAGTCTTCCCATCCGTACTAGAGTTCACAGTCTATAGCCTACCCATAGGCCCCACAATAGTTCCTTTTTGGGATTACTTTATAGGATTCCGAATATGAACCCCAAAAAGGAACGACTATGGGGCCTATGGGTATTGTCAGAGGCCAAATTTGAACCTGACACCCCGATCCTAAGCTGCACCACGTGCAACGCTTCTGACTCGATGGCAGGTTCCATCGCGTGGTGCCCGGGTTCTGCATCCAGGCCTCGGACCAAGTCTACGGATTAGTGAGGAGGTGTGGGCTTTAGGGCTTTGATTTCAGCAAGAGACCCAAAGAGGCTAAGATAGAAGCCGAGATCAATACCATCAACGACCATGAGCATCATTCCTTATAAGGCTCCTCAATATGAGATATGCTGTCATCTGCTGTAAGGCCTCTAAGCCTATATATTGCATTCTAAGCCTATATATTGCATGGTCAGGAGCCCAAGAGCTTCTCATAAGAAAACACGGTGCAGTCTTTTTATGGATTCAGGGTTTCGGCTTCAGGGTTTAGGGGGTCTAGGGCTTTGGGGTTCTAGGGTTCGACAATCCTGCCAGTGTCTGGAGCCCGCCTGAGACTTCCGCAGAATCGCGGACAATAAGAGTCCGCGGAAGTGGTGCTTCTCAGACTTCTCAGACTCAAAGCTCGTGCATGAACCCTTTGCCTTACACCCCAAACCCCGAACCCCAGATTCCCAAACCTCAGACCATCTAAAAACCGACACCCTCCTGAACCCTGAATTCCGAAGGTACTAATCCTCAGACCATCTCTCAAGCCCTAAACCTTGAACCCTCAAATAGGTAGTTGTCAAAATTATGGTTGTTTTGGGGTACCCTAAATAATAGGTGTCGTATTATAATAAGGACCCCAAAATAAAAGGGACCATAATTTTGACAACCACCCAAATTCAGGGAGAACATCGAACTCCACCTGCCAGGGCGGACAGACTTTCGAGAACGAAGAGGGCTCTGGCGGAGAGTCCATCTACGGGCCCACATTCGAGGACGAGGCTAGGTTCGGGTTTGGGGGTTGGGTTTCGGGTTTGGGGTTTAATATAGGGGCCTAAATAATTACCTACATTATTTTGGGAGTTTCTTATTATAAGTATAGTATAATGGGCCCCAAAACCCTATTCTAATTATGAAGGCCCCTAGATTAGCGGCCTTCTGAACTTCGGATTCGGGGTTTGGGATTTGTTTTTGTGGGTTGGGGGTTCGAAATTTTGGGGTTCAGGGTTCGGGCTCGGGGGCTTAGGCTCCGGGTCGAGGATTTAGGGTTGGGGATTTAGGGCTCTGTGTTTTCGAGGCTTGGGAGTTGCGGTTTGCGGTTGAATGTTTGAGTTTCAGAGTTTGCCATGACCAAACACATGGTCACGAGTACTGCTATGATGATGGCTGCTGATGATGATGGTTCTCACCGCGAGGATGCTGGTTGTTGTTCTGGTTGGACGACCGAAACCCTAAACCCTAAACCCTAAACCCTAAACCCTAAACCCTAAACCCTAAACCCTAAACCGATATAGAATCTTGAGTTACGATGGTTCCTAAGAGCTGCTTGCCACTGTTGCTGGACAAATATTGCATGACCCAAATATAGTATCGTACCATAAATCCCACAGTTTAGGTATATAAGGTCATGCAGGATTTTGTCCATCAACCGGATTATTGCATACTAAAATACCAGAATTCTTGGGGTCCCTGTTGGGTCAGACAGCATCGAGGGGGTTTCTCCGAAGCTTTAGATGGCTGAGGAGGCAGTTGCAATATGGTGTCCCTTGCAGGTTAAAGATGTGCTTTGGGAGTTTCTGAGGCTTCGGGGCCGAAGCTCTAATTTAGGAGATTGGGGGTTCCTTCTTATAATTATCTAGGTTGTTTTTGGGGACATTTTTATTTTCCTTATTTGGGTGTATAAGGGACCCTTTATATAAATATTTTTCAGAGGGCTTAAAGGCCAACCCAGTTGTAGTATAATCCTTCTTATAATTATAGGAGAATTTATCCCAAAACCCTATTCTAGTTCTTTAGGCCCCTATATTACACCGTAGTCTAGTTGACCGAGACAGCGCAGGACGTCGAGTCAGAGACCCTAAGCCCTGAAACAGGGTTTAGGGTTTAGGGTTCCAAACAACTGGGTTCTGTCAGTTTCCGTGTGGGGTTCTTGACTAGAAGGGCTCCGCAAATGTTCCGAATGGCTTGCATTCCTAAACCCCCAAGCCCTGAACCCTAAAGCCTAAAAGCCCTAAACCCTGAAGCCTCAAGCCCTAAACCCTAAAGCCCAAAGCCCCTGGACCCAGAACCTGCGGATGAAGTTCCGGGACAAGGGCCTCATTGCCATGGCAAATGGTGGCCCAAACACCAATGGCTCCCAGTTCTTCATCACCACCAAGAAGGCTTGGGCCAACTGAGTCGGAGGCTTCTTGGGTTTAGGAAGTCTCGAGGGTTTTGGGGTTTGAGGTTTAGACAGAAACTGCTGATTCGCGCGGCATGCTCCATCGTTTGGTTCTGGGGCAGGAGGATAATGAGTTTGTGCCCGTTAATCATTTCCTAAGTCCTTAATTCCAGCAATAGGGCACAGGTCTGTGAGTTTAAGTGCCAGGGCCACATGTACGGGGTCGAAGGGTTTAGTGGGCCTGTAGATGCATGTAGGGCTCGGGGTGTAGATGTTCCAGGGTTTGAGATTTGGGGATCCATGACGACACAAGCTGAACGCAAAAATCCACCCTAAACCCTAAACCCTAAACCCTAAACCCTAAACCCTAAACCCTAAACCCTAAACCCTAAACCCTAAACCCCAAGGATGAAGCCCCCCCGCCTGGCCTAAACTTCCATTTGCCAAAACTGCCTGGTGCTTCGTAGGGAATGAGGGAATGGGTTATAGGGACT